GTCAACCCTAGAACGGTCTTTCGACTTTTGTCGTTTCCACGCTTACGTTGCCCATTTTTAAAAGGCAACCCAAAGAAGCTTTAACCCATCTACATTACTTGATATGATTTTTATTCATTGAATGACGGTATGGCGCAAACAAACATTATGCTCACAAACCCAACGAAATCGGGGGTAACATGGTGAGTCCACAGATGCGTTTTTTTACTTTTGTCAACTTAGCTGAACTAACATTATTTCCACAAACCATCCCACGGAACTTGTCAAGCCTTGGCTTTATTCTCTGTATTATACCATTGTGTCATCGAGTGTTTTTCCTTCATATATGAACCTTTAGGTTTACAGACCTCGCAGATTATATGTTACGCTAAAAGTTCATACCCAGCTTCCCACCGTTCACATGCATTGGTCCCCAGCACGCAAGCAACCTATTATCATCATCCTCATCATCATCCATCAATCATCGTCATCATCCTGATAGACGTTAGCCAGAGGTAGAAAACACCTCAGCTACTGTGCCGCCATACATAAAAGAAGAAAGGGGAAAATTTAACAGGAGCAAGCCAGCTGAGCTACCGGTAACAGATGAGCATCGCTCCGGTGAGCTACCAGCTGGCTACTATGCAGCAAAAAATTACTATGCAAAATTATATAAGGTTAAATAGTGCGATCGTGGTTGGAGGGGGAGACTAAGAGGAATGGGGTGGAAAAAGTCCCACAGCATGAACTGCACTGAGGTCGGCTCCTAGCCACTTCAGCAAGTGGATCAAACCATATTTGTTCATCCTCTTTCGGACCCCAACCAGGGAGCCGAAGCCAGCTTCGAAGTGAGGGTCTTCATTCATCTCGACCAAGTCATCGCTTGGCCACATCTTCTTCCATCCACACCCCCGGCATGCAAACAACACACGTCGCGGCAGTCGGTGAGCTGGCATGTGTAACACGTGGCCGAGCGATCGGAGGCTAGTGCGTGAAATAAAGGTGTTGAGCGGTTCATTTTCCTTTTCCGGTACCGTAAACAAGGTGTTGCACACGCTCGTTGTTCACGTGGAGTTCCCACCAGATGTGAGCTAAATTGCGAAGGCACCGGTGGTGGAACGTAACTAGCCTCTTCAGGTCCGCTGCTTTAAGCGGCCAGGTTTCACAACCGTACAGTAGGGTCGAACGTACCGTTGCATTATACACTCTACCCTTCGGGGCAAGATTGATGTCGCATCGGCGCCATAAGTGGCGAAGGTTGGTAAAAGTGCCTCGAGCTTTTGCTATGCAGTCCATGATCTCATATTCAAACCCACTGGCGCTGATACAACTTCCCAGGTAGTTGAATTTTTGCACGACTGCTAGCTGATCCCACTAAGAGTCATCAAAGGAGACGGTCCAGGCCAATCTTGGAGGAACGCTTTGCACCTCAATGGTGCAAAGCAAAGCCCGAAGCGGCTGACAACCAGTGCTAATCTGTCCAGTGCCTCTTGACACGTCTGGGAGCTGTCACAGATGACGACAATATCGTCAGCATAATCCAAGTCGAGCAGTCGTTCTCGCATGAGCAGATCTACAACTTTTAAGTCGTATCTAATGAACGCGATTTCCATGACTTCGTCAATAGCGAAGTTGAAGAGGAAAGGTGACAGCGGGCATCCTTGTTTCATACCGCTGGAGATATTGAAGGGCGACGACAGCTTGCCGCAAGCCCTCACTCTGCCTGAGGAACACGCGTATAATGATCGGATAATATTTACATATTTCTCAGGTACACCTTTTCGGAGTAGACAGTTCCAAAGTGCACGTCTATCCACCGAACCGAATGCACCTTTGATATCGAAGAACACGACAACAATGGGTCGCCAATATATGTGACGGTGCTTCAACAAATGACGCAAAGTGAAGATGTGGTAAATGCGTCTCCGACCTCGACGAAACCCGGCTTATTCTATACGACTATGGCTTCCACGGGTGCCAGTCAGTCTGTGAAGGATGACAGTGGCAAGCAATTTGGAGACGATGGAGATCATTCTGATCCTGATCCTCCCTTGAACATTGGGACTATGACGGGACGGCTCCAGTCGGTTGGGAAAGTTTCCTGCTCCCACAGTTTCACTAGTAACTCGTATAAATCATTCACAAGAGCCGGTCCCAGAAATTGAAGAGGTCTGCAGGAAGATCATTTGGTTCCGCGGCTTTATTTATCCTCAACCGTGCGATCTCACGTTCTACTTCTGAGCGAGAGGGTAGATCCAAAGGGACAGACCACAGAGTGGGGCAATCAGTGACCGGTGAGAAATCTAACAATTCCGAGTGATTTAATCGCCTTTCAAAGTACTCAGACCAACACTCCAAGCGTTTTGACAAGTTGTGGATAGGCTGTCCACTCTCGTCACGTATAGTTTCACTAACACCAGGTCTCCTGCTGCCAGTTTCCCGTATCAGCCAAAATAATTTACGATGGTTACCAAGGGCAGCGGCCATTTCCGTCTCTGTCGCACGATGAAACCACCAGGATTCGCGGTCTCTCTTCAGGCTAGCACGGAGTTTTGCCCGAAGCTCTTTACGCGTTTCATTGTGTTCGCTTCCAGCCGGAATATGCTGACGAGCATCGATAAGTTCCAGAGACTGCGAAGAGACCCAATGTCCATGTTGGTGATTAGACATACCACATGAGGATTTTCCTGCTGCTAGTAAGGACTGGTGAATATGAGACCAGTGAGCTTCAATTGCATCCAATGAGCGTTTACTCAACTCGTATATCAGCGTATTTTGGTAGGCCTTTGGAACAGCTGGTTTCGCCAGTTGGCTGGTGTCGATGCGTTCACAACGTCGTGGGCGTCCGCCAAAACGCATCTGCAGGTCAGCACACACAAGTGCATATTCAGTGTCCACGCACGTGCTTCCAATCGAGCGACAGTTCTGGATGCAGCCTCTGCATCGGTAACTTATCGCAATGTGAGCGATTTGCGTCCATAGCAGGTTCGAGGCTGGTGGGCGCCAAGTCACCCTCCGGCGGGTGCTGTGTCGGAAATTAGTGTTCGCAAGAAATAAGCGAGCATCTTCACACAAACAAAGTAACCGCGCACCATTATCTTTACGGGAGCCTACACCATGTTGGCCGTTCAGATGCAGTTCATCAGTGGATAATTTTCCAACTTGAGCGTTCAGATTCCCAGCCAGCACTACAGTGTTCGTGCTTCTTCTGTGGCGAAGGAGCTCGTTCAGTTGACGATAGAAGTCGTCTTTTACCGAGTCATCGCTACAGTTTGTGGGTGCATTGGCAACGATAACGAATAGATACCTGTTAGTCCCGCGCGGCTTCGAAGCTTTGAACGAGCCAGCCAATCGGACCGCACACATCCGGCCACTGTTTGGGATCCAATCAACCAGAGTAGCTTCAGCCCGGGGACTCAGGGCAATACCAACACCGGCTTGGCCGGTGCTCGAAGCTGCATCGTCACCGGATAGGCGCAATGAGAAAGTGCTGCTAGTGTCACCTGAAGGGGATCGCAGAGTGAGTACAGAGCTCGAGTCTTGCAGGCGGGTCTCCGATAAGCAGCAGATATCGATAGAGAGGGTCTCTAATGTTCGGGCAAATGCTGCCTGTTGACCGATCTGTAGCAATGTGCGTACATTGAGGTATGCCAATCTGAAGGATGATCGAGGGCTCCAAATAAAAGCAGGTGAACTGGACTTGGCCGCTTGCTTGGACATGGACTTTCCGACAGTGCAGGAATGACGCTCAGCGTTCACATGTGAGTTAAAACTAAAAGGTGAAATTCAGCTAAATTATCATAGGTACCCCCAATCAGCAGGTTTAGGCTAGTCTGGAAAAACACCAGACGCCGGCGTTTCGACCTTCTGGGTCTCGTCAGTGGTGCGCCTTCCAGCAGACCCCTGCCGAATTCCACCCATGCCACTTTGCCTTGGGTGCCAGACGCGGAGCTGCGTGATTGACAGTTGATTACGGTATAGCCCGGCTCATCTTCCACTGCCATGCCAGTTACAAACTGTGCAGAGGACAATGGCTAGTCTCACGAGCTAGGACTTTCTGCATAGCGCCTATGTTCCCACATGGAACTTGGAAGCTATACAGACAGATTTTATAGTTCTTATAATTGATGATGGCGGAACCCGGCAGGGGTCCGCTTGGAGGCGCACCACTGACCAGACACAGAAGGTCGAAACGCCGGCGTCTGGTGCTTTTCCAAACTAGCCTAAGCCTGCTGATTGCGAGCGTCTATGATGAATTAGTTTAATTATACCAAAATTTTCGCCACAACTCATCAGTACTAAAAGGTAAAAGTCTATCGAAGGAAGGTGGGGAAGAGCCGAGAACTGGGCGATTGAAAACAGTGGGGATAAAAGTGGAGCTGGAGGGGGACGGTGAGTGAAAACGCGTGAGAGGGGGAATAAAAAGATGGGTAGGCTTGAGCAGTAGCATCCAAACCTCTATCCACCCTGCTCGATGCAGCAGATAGGGTACGGTTGATTATTCTCTGCGGTGGCCAGAGCATCCAGCATTTGGTTGACGAATGATTCATAGTGGGCAGGATGGTGTGAGGTTGCCTAGGCCTAGACAGCAGAACGATAGGGTTCTCAACCAAAGCCTTGGGTTCAAAAATCTGACGGCAAGGCAGCGAGTTTGACGTTGGGCTACAAGGAGTCCGTTTTAAGGAATAAGTAGCCACCTTTATTCCAACCACAACCTGGAGGACCAACAGGCTGAGTTTGTCTGGCCTCTAAGTGTTGACCAATCTGATATGAGTGACTCTGAAGGTGCGAAAAAGCACCACCCAGCATAGCTCAATGGATCTCTGAAGCACTCACACCATCGTACCACTGTAAGGTCCAGCCTCATTACGATGGACGCATGCAACCCTCAAGCTATTATATCGTCACTCTACCATTCAATGAATACTTCTTCAAATGGAAGACACATTACTTTCGATTTTTAATTCACATCCTACTTACCCTATAGGACGCAATAATTATCGACTTTAATACCTGTAATAATGGGCTATTATATTTTGTACTTAAATTTAGTCAGGTTGGTAAGTTGACGAAAGAGATGGTAGTCAAGAACACCGTTTCTCCTCAACCTTATGATGTTGGCCAGTAATAGGACTTCAGTAAGGTGAGGTGGAACGCAGTGCAACGGAGCACAAAATGTAGTAAGTCAACATTAGCACTGAGCTCTGTCTCACATGAAAATCAGAGCCTCGGTGCCTAGAAAATCCATGGCAGATTTCGGGTGAAACACAGTGCCATAAGAAAGTCATCCACATTTTTGTTGTTTTGCTTTAAGGTATCTTCAGTGCGAGATCAACCCCAGTAGATTTACAAAACACTCTTTTATCATCATAAAATTAGGTTTTGTGAACATGCGATCGATACATTGGGCGGCTCGGTTTCTTTCATATTTTAGGTTGAAGAAATCAGAAAAAAGGCGGCACTTTTGGAAAGAGAGATTAAAAACTTGGAGTGTTACGCCAAGGGCGTAGTTGAACGCATCAGTTTAGAGGAAGCTAACAGAAATGCACGGCTTCAGGACGAAAGTGGCAGTAAGCTAGAGTACACTGAATGATGCTATTTGAAACGTAGATGCCATCTGAATGATGTTCTTTTATGTGGTACGAGTGAATAGCCACAACTTATTGCATTGTAAGAAGGAATAAATTTGCTTTTTTACCCGGCAGTTTAACAGTAATTAATTGAGGACGATGTAACCCGATCTCATGGGCATTGAAATATGGTGGGATAGCATAAGGATACACAGCCCCAGTCGTACGCTTATACGATGAAAGTAGAACATTTCTAACCTCTTGTATTAAGAGCCCAGCTAGATATGAGTCACTGTTCTGGTAAACGCTGGTCTACTAACCAGTAAAGGGGGACACAGCATTGATAACTAGCAGTTCTAAGTTCAACTTACGCTTATGCTTGGAAGATTAATGCTCAAAATATCTAATACCGTTCTACTGCAATAGAAAATCTCAGTGAATTAGAAGGGCGCCTGGAGGAGTTGAAGTCTTCCTTCCGAAATTTGGTGGACAGTAACAACAAGGAAGAAAGGATCCAGCGTGGAACACTGTACAGACTGGAAACAGAAATTGAAGGTATTGTGCACAAATACGATCAAGAGATGACCGCCTTGCAGGTGAGTATTTCTAAGTGCAGAATATACCTAACCAATGGTGCCGCAGTCGGCCCGTAGCCTAGAGGTAACGAGCTTGTCTCGTAATGTTGCTGCGTGGATTCGAATCCGCGTAGGGATGGGCGTCCTCGCGGTATACTCAGCCCGCGTGCGACTGATGGTGGTCGCACGGCAGCGAAGCACCGTTACGACGTACAGCTGACACATTATTTTTTATTATTAATGGGGCCTCAGACTTTGTCCTGCAGATATATTTGTAATAACCGAGCTACCGCCTCGGTGCACATGTCAAAATCAATGGGCGGATTCTATGAATGACGAAACGATATGTGAGTAATGAACAGGGATCAATAAATGCGTATACAGACTTTAGAAAGTGTATCATGAGATGGAGTTGTCAAGGTGAAATTGTCTGTTTTTCTTATAGTCCGAATATGACACTTTGGATGTGGAATACACACGAGAGAAGAAGGAGCTTAGTGAATTGGAGGAAAGATTCCTTGTAAGTAAACTAATTGTGATTATACGCAATTGCATAGACGAGATGGAACACAACGTGTCACTAATAGATGTATGATAAGTTTCAATGTATACTCCGAGCAGTTTGACGGACACGGGCTAGCAACTTACCTTTTCCATCAGAATGTCACCTGATGCTAAGTTGCACGGACTATTCTGCCGAGATAAATCCAACCGGATGAAGCCAACTATTGTGGGTTAGATACTACTAATACGGATAGCTGTCCAGTGAATTCATTTGCGCAACTCTGTGTGCCTAGCCTGGACAGGCAATTGGAATATTAATATGTTATGCGCACAGCTTGTCCGAAGTAGACGGTTCCTTCGCAGGTCCGCGTAGCATACTATCAGTGTCAAATGCATGCTTTGGTCTAAACACATGTATTGCAGCAGTGAGTGGTTTTATTTCTAACTCAGAGAGAGTCTTGGGAAAGACTGTCAACAGGTGTGACTCTAAAGGCGAGGCGCTGATAGTGCAGTTGAGAGCGGTATCTTTAGCTTTAGGTATCTCGCGAGCGAAGTTCACATTTGCAGCATGCAAATAAATTAACTGCTGGCGTGACATATCCAAAACGTTTCTCCAGTATGGCCGGATAGGACATATAACTAGCTCGCTGTTTACTGGGTGACGAGCGTAGGTTGTTCCCAGTTTGTGGCCCACACAGTAGTGGTGATTCAAGAAGAGCAACTATGGTTAAATGCTTCCATACCTAAAATTCTCTTTGCCACGTGTTTTTGTGGAAAAATCCTACAATAACTATTTTGGTGCCTTATTCCGTGCTCACAACAACAAGAACACCCTACTGATAGACAGAAGATATAACTGTCCCATGTAACTTCCCACTGATATTCGGATAGGTACTCTCGATGCGGCGCGCTTTGTCAAGACTCAGGAGAAACTCCTATTGTAACGGGAACGAGGCGGCAGAGAGGCACAGTCTGTAGCGCCAACGAACAGCGAGTTCACAGGCTAGCAAGCACTCGCGCACGTATAGAGCAAACTTCCAACTCACTACGCACCACACATTGTCCTTTTGCTAAGCGTCACATTCATGCCCCGATTTCAGTCAATCAGCAAGGTTATTTTTGGCCGATTTGCCCTCGTATCTTCGCTTCCGCTCATCATGTTCTGACCGGGCTGGGTTCGTTCTAATGCTCCTGATTTGCTCAGTCAGGGCTGCATCGCTTATCTTGGAGTTAATCCTGGAGGCGTGGCCAAAGGTGCACCCATATTCGGAAAATCGGACTGTACATCACTACGTCCCCTGCTCTTCTCGGTCTGGGCCTGATATCGTTTGTTGCTCGTAGACCATTTTCAGCTTGTTCCGTAGGTCTCGAGCTGCTTTGTCAACTTTTGTCCCCGGTGTCTTCATTAGTTTTCCTCTACCTTAATTCCAACAGCTTGTTCATTCAGCCCGTGATTCTTGCTATTGGCGCCACTACACTACGACTCCATAAGTAATTGCAATTATCAGAGAATATTGTTTATGTACGCCTTGCAGGAGCATAAACGTTCTTCATTACCACAAAATGTAGCTACTGTGGGTAATGAATAGAAGCAGTTCTCATCGCTGCTGTGTGAGTTTGATTACAAAGGAAAGAGTGTACGAAGATGAATCACTGGAATCCCAAATACATATGAGCTACGCAAATAGCATTATATTAGGAAAGTAGCACAATGCAGGAAGTTCACTGGAAGCGGAATTGTTCAGTTCTATTGTTTGATGACTACTACTCACATATTATACTGTAACTTGTTTTTAGACGCTGGAGGAGGAGTACACAGAAATACTGGAGGAACGGCGTATACAAGAGATGAATCGACAAAGAGAGGAGGCAGAAACGCTCGCATTGCAACAGTCTATCACAACTATACAAGCCTTCTGGCGCTCTTATAAGACTCGAAAAGCGGCACAAGCCAGAGGAAGTGGTAAAAGAAAAACAAGAAGATGACGCTATTTTGTCATGAACAGATATTAACTTCAAAACAATCATGTAATCCATTCATTAGAACAAACCTTGAAATCAACCCACATCATTCATATATAGTGATGCAGGACGTGAAGCAGTGATACAAGCGAAACTCCGAAGTCTTCAATATACTTAACGGGTCGGGAGTATACGGAAGTAGCTTTATTAGTCCAATCGGACATGTAGGTTGAGACATAACCATAGGTGAACGATCGGATTCATATATGCTCCACTTGTTGAAAGCACAAGCTTAGAAACAGTCCTGTCGGGTCAGCAGAGTTAACTGCATAAAACCGATCGAGACAGTGTTTGTGAGGTATGTATTCACTCGGATCCCTAACTCAGGCATAACCCACGAGCGACAAACGCGTGGACACAGCGCCATATTCAAGGGAGGTGGAAAGAGAGCCTTAATCGTGTTCCCGGCGATGTATCGCGTGTTGATGATGTTAAGCGGTTCCAATCAAGGTTGATTAGCGAACAACAGTGTTAATATCTGGTAACCAAATTGAGATGGATAGACTTTCGAATGATAGAAATGGCATCAGTCGTATTGTTAAGGCTCCTCCTTTTATCGGGTTTAATATGCTGATGGTATTCCTCATTATAATTGGGTTATACGAGAAATCGGCGCGATTGCGTGACAAAGTAATGTGTGTCATTTCAACGATATAAAGGCCATGAACTGTAATCCAACTCCCAAGCATAGCTGCAACGTTTGGCCACATAAAATAGCTGGACATCGTAGGACTACGAAAACCAAATAATCGTCGACTTCGAATGTTCTAATATTACTACTTTCAAAGTGTCTGTACTCGGATGATCTGATTCCAATTTCTTGAACTGAGTGGTAGATGATGCGAGCTGAAATCTTCTGACAGGCTTGGTTGCCCGACATCACAACCATACTCGTCGTGAACGCAAGTAACTGAACTGTCAATCGCCTAGCATTTATCACAGTTTCAGCTACCGCAAAAAAGTCTTTGCATCGATGCTCACTACCGGCTACGGGATAGGATATTCGAACGGGGATTCAAAATCACACTGACACAGTGAGTGACTTAGCCTAAGGGTAGGGAAGCAAGGAAGCACAGTTGCCGCGACGTGCTTATATACTTTAACACTTGTATACTACATACCCAGGTAAATGGCCTCGCGTTCGTACGATCAGCTGGCCGTTAATGAGTACGTACCACAGGTCTCATCAAGTAGCAGAACCTCATTGTTAGAGATCACTAATGCAGCAACGGTTATCAGCAACAGAAACTAGGCAAATGATGCTAGCTGAGGCGCCCAACACTTGGACATGTATCAATTCGTGGATATCAGGGATGAACATAGAGGAGCAGGATGTGGGTGGTGGACCTTCCCAAATCTCTATGATGAGATCCATTGGCATATACCACCCTAGGTAACTAGAAAATGACGGATAAACATCACCAATGATACAGTTACAGTCAATCTATATTACAGATGCCAAAATGTGTCTCATTGCTGAGTTACGAATGGAGAAATAAGTATGAAGCGGTGTAGTGAAAGCTGGATGAACAGTAACTAGTATAAACCGCATTTCGGTACCAGATGGCTAGATCAGTCTACAACCTAGTGCTACAGTAGTGCTTATTCGTTTTAGACACCATTCATCCTTGTCTTAGTTCGTATTCAAATGCGATCGTTCTTTTGATCGTAGGGGTGGCAATGAAGGTTAAAAAGCATTGAAGAAACACCTCAAATAATGGCAAAAATTGATATTAGACTACCAAACACCAGACTGATTTCCAATGGAAGACAGACCGAAAGGGGAATGAATGACAGTGGCACCACCGTGCTAAAAGATCAATCATGCTCATAGCAGCATAGATACTTGGAGAACTTTACATTTATTTGACGAGACACATCAGTTCTCCGGTTGGGCACATTTTAACCACATGCGGTGGGAAGTGTTATGGAAATGGGAATATTCGTCGCTCCTGTTACTTCTTGTTGCCCTTGGTCCAGTCGCTATTGTGTCAGTGCGGCCGTCGAAACGAGACTGGACCTTAACGTGGTGCAACAGTTCGCTTACCTCATTGACCCATTGAGCTATACTGTATGGTGCCTCCGGGCCCCTTGAGAGCTACTGCTACCAGGTTGGTCAATGGTGAGAAGTCAGACAAATTCAGTCTCCTGCTCCTCCAGCTTGGGGGTTTGAACTGGGATGGCGTCTATTTTTGTAAAACTAAATCATTGCCACCTCCCCGCTGCCTTGCGGACAGGCTTTCGAGCCAAAGGCTTTGGTTAAGGACCCTAATCGTTATCCTGTCTAGGTCTGAGCGCCCTGGCAGTATCTCAACCCACACACAACCATGACAATTTCCTCAAACGTTAACTACATCCTGCATCGGCCGCCGCGCAGATTATCAAGGGTCGCCTTATCTCATGCATACAGCAGGGCGCATAAGCGAAAACATGCTACTGCTGACGTCACCTTTCTTCCTTTTCCACTTGTTGCTCTTACTCCCATCCAGACCCGCATTACTAACCTTCCCCTATAATTCTCACCTGAATTGAATCAATCAAAGTGCCACTGGAGTAGAACCATCTGCAGCCATCTTTCGGCAACACGCACCGAACGCCCATCGGCAACAGTTCCTTATAAGTCTACGCCGTCCCGTTTTAGTGGCGACTTTCAAAGTTCGCACTCTAAGACAAATAGGTCAACAGGCTACAAACGCACGCACTTTGGACACACTACGTACTGATGTGTGTTGTGTGTCCCAATCCGCATGAGTCGGCTAACTGACCATGTGCTAGACCCGCTGCCTTTCGGGTGTATATTTAATCGAAGGCTTTGGCTGAGGACCCTAGTCGTTCTCCTGTCAGGTGTGGGCGCCCTGGCAGTATCCTAGTCCATCCTCTCCGGAGGTTAGGAAGTGGTCGATGGCCCTCTTCCCGTAAAACCTAGCCATGGGAGAATACAGGTTTACGGGTTATAAGCTCACAGCTCGATTGGCGTAGAGCACGAGTGCCACACATTGTCTCTGACGGTGAAAGGACACCTCCGGGTGTTCAATGGTTTGCTACTGCCCGCCTCAAGCCAGGCAGCCCCTGGTCAACTTGATGCAAACCCGCCAAAAACCCACCTGCCTCTGGTCGTGGTCGCAGGTGCGTATCCTATTACGGTCGCAAACATATAATAATTGTTCCAGTACCTCAAAGGCTGCGTGTGACGGCCGTCAAGCAGATCCCAATCTGTCTCTGCAATCACATTCCCGAGCTGGATCTGCTACCCACTGCCTTGTGGGTCAGGGTATTGAGCCAAAGGCTCCGAGCGGAGTCCCTCAAGCAAACCTCCAAACCACCCACTGCCTTGTGGGTCAGGCTATTGAGCCTAAGGCTCCGGGTGGAGTCCCTCAAGCAAACCTCCAAACCACCCACTGCCTTGTGGGTCAGGCTATTGAGCCAAAGGCTCCGGGTGGAGTCCCTCAAGCAAACCTCCGAAGCACAACGACCACCACGCGTGTGATTGCCCACCAATGCAATCGTATGCCTGCGCGCAAAGCACTCAGCATCGTGTGCTGGAACGTGCGCACACTACTGGACCGGAACTCCAGCGAGCGCCCGGAGCGACGCATTGCACTGGTCGCGATGGAACCGGCGCGCTACCACATCGATATTGCGGCGCTCAGTGAAACTCGGCTCGCTGAGCAAGGTAAGTTGCATGAAACAGGTGCTGGATACACATTCTACTAGGTGGGCAACGCCGCCTCATCACCACGTGAACATGGGGTCGGATTTGCAATATCCGATCGCCTCCATGGCCAGATGGTGGGTGAACCAACGGGCATCAGCGCGCGACTGATGACTGTTCGCCTACGACTCGGAAGAGGTAAGTTTGCTACTTTTATAAGCACGTACGGTCCGACCATGTGTTATCCTGATGACACGCGTGATCAGTTCTACACTGAGCTATCCTCCGTGATACGGTCTGTGCCGAGGAGCGACCGACTATTTCTGCTGGGTGATTTCAACGCGCGCGTTGAGCGTGGTGCATCAGCGTGGACAGATGTTATCGGTGCGCATGGCATTGGTTCAGCGAATGCGAACGGTGACCGGCTGCTCTCACTGTGTGTCACTCACGGCCTGACGATCACGAACACTCGGTTTGCACTGAGTGCGAGTGATATAGCAACTTGGACGCACCCACGGAGTGGTCACGCTCACCTGCTCGACTATGTCATCGTACGTCAGCGTGATACGCGTGAAGTGCGCATGACACGTGTACTGCGTGGAGCTGAGTGTGGCACTGATCACAAGTTGGTGCGGACCAAACTGTACATATATTTTCGTAAATCTGTGTATTGCACTCCCGCCGTGAATCGGCGTAAATTTAACGTTCTCTCCCTCGGTACTGTGGCGAAACGTACTGAACTGGAGAAGGCGATGGCTGCACGCCTGTGTGATGTGGACTGCATAGCCACAGTGGGCGACCTGTGGCACCACATTCGTGACCAGGTGACAGCTGCTGCCGAGGAGACTATCGGGCGCGCAAACTGTAAGCGGCCTGATTGGTTTGATGACAACAATGCGACGATCGTCGCATTGGTGTCGGAGAAGAATGCAGCATTTGCTGCACATGTCGCAGACCCCACTGACTTGGGAAAGAGTAGTCAGTTTCGCAAACTTCGACGGCGACTGACTCGAGAGCTCCGTCGCATTAAAAATGCATGGTGGACGGAGAAGGCGAAGCAGATGGAATGCTACGCCGAACGCCGTCAACAAAAGGAATTCTTTGCCTCCTTAAGGCGGTGTATGGACCGAGATTGGAGCCGCTGAGGACACTGATCGATGGTAGTTCAGGCGCTACCTGCACCCAGACTGCAGACATAATGCAGATCTGGCGGAAACACATTGACTGTCTCTTGAACAACCGTTCAGAGATCGATTGGCCTACATTGAACGGCCTGAAGCAGCACGATGTGAAGGCGGATCTGGCGGATACGCCGACACTGGATGGGAAGCAGAGAGCACTTGCTCAGCTGCGAAACGGCAAGTGTGCCGGAGCCGACGGGATCCCGCCTGAAGTATTGAAACACGGTGGACCTGCGTTGTTGACTGCGCTGCACCACTTGGTGCAACGCGTGTGGATTAAGGAGGAGGTGCCTCCTGAGCTGAAGGATGCCCTTGTGCTACCACTGTACAAGGGCAATGGTAGCAAGCAATGTTGCACGAATTATCGTGGCATCAACTTGTTGAGTTGTGTGGGCAAGGTGATTGCCCGAATCCTGCTCAACCGCCTCGTCAGTCAGGTTGTGGAACCTAACGTGGCGGAAGAGCAATGTGGATTCCGTTCGGGTCGCAACACTATAGATATGGTGTTTGCGGCTCGTCAGTTGCAAGAGAAGTGCAGAGAACGACACCAG